CCCGAACATTTTGAATGAAAACTTGTATTTAATGCTTCGGTCTATTGTCAGTAAATCTTTGTTTTAATTTGGAAATTGTTCGGTGCCCTAACATTTTTAGTTAAAACATTGATTAAACACTTAAGTCTATCGTCAGTAAATCATTTTTTAATTTGTAAATTGTTCGGTGCCCGAACATTTTGAATGAAAACTTGTATTTAATGCTTCGGTCTGTTGTCAGTAAATCATTGTTTTAATTTGGAAATTGTTCGGTGCCCTAACATTTTTAGTTAAAACATTGACTTAACACTTGCGTCCATCTTTAGTAAACCTTTTTTTAATTTGCAAAATGTTCGGTGCCCTAACATTTTGAATGAAATCTTGTATTTAATGCTTCGGTTTATTGTCAGTTAATCTTTGTTTTAATTTGGAAATTGTTCGGTGCCCTAACATTTTTAGTTAAAACTTTGATTTGATGATTTAGTCTGGTCAATGAAGTAATTCATTTATTTTTCATTTCACTAAATGTTCGGGCACCGAACATTATGTTGTAGCAGAATAATTGTGGCCAAGAAGTGTTAGATATATAAGAAGTTAATTTAGAAATGTGAATTGTGTATGTAAATATTTGATCTGTTAATAAAATTGCTTTTGATATTTCAATGATTTTAATAAAGAATTGTCCATTTATATAAATTTGCCTTGATTTTTATGTACCATTTTAACCACTAAAATGACCAAAAGAGCCATAATAAACAGGAATGATTGGACATTCCTCTTTTATATTGTACACTGTTGTATATATTTTTTCTATTCTTCAGAAATGAATAGAAATTCGTATATATTTTTTCTATTCTTAGCCCGATTTCAGTGAAAAACGTTGCAAAATATATCATACATATGTATCAAAATCAGAACCATTCATCTGATTATCAAAACTGAAAGCGAGATAGTACAAACCTATATGTGCTTATTTTGATAATCTACATGAACCGAAAGATTATAAAATATTGTAAAAAAGCACTTTATATGTTCAACTTGTAGTTATTTTTCTATTTTAAAATTGCAAAACCATATTATAAAGTCGCTTCTTCTGTTATCAAATTTAAAACAAAACAAAACAAAACATCTTCTAAATACATTGGTGGCTACAATGGATGCTTAGATCATGCAAGCAAATGTATAGAGGGAGTTCCGATAATAAAAAAATACAGCACAAGAAAGTGACGAATGCCTCTGAAAAGGATTTGTAAATATAGCAGAAATATATTATAAAAAGAAAAGACAATAGAAGTAACTAATTGCCTAATATTGCTCTTGTAAATTTGTTCATTGGAAACTTACCTAATTGACCATGGATGAAGGGACATGGGTAATGGACGCGTCACGTTGTCTTTATGTGGTCAACATACATACTAGGTTATTTAAAAATCCTTTCATGCAGGACAAAGTTACACTCCGGACACGAATGTTCTGTAAAGCCGAACAGACAGACGGACAGATGGATGATCCGATTTAAATATGCCGCCCTTTGTTTGCATTAAAAACTGCATTAAACTTTTCTGAAATTCAAAATACCTTGATCACATCTAGGACCTTGCCAACCAGAGTCACATAAAGAGATAACGCAATTTCCAGTTGTACCACTGCAAGTAGTATTTTTCAGGCAATGGCAAGTCGATGAACAATTGAAGCCAAACGATCTGTGATCACAAACTTAAAAGAATGAAAAGGGTTTGACATATATATTATCAACTTGAGTTAATACAGGCAATTATTTTTCATGGTTAAGAAAACAAGACAAATCTATTACTATGCACAAATGAATTTTACCATGCAATTTTTGTGAACTGATACGAGGTATTCTTTTAATTAATGACAAACTAGAGAGGAAACAAGCATTGCTGTGTTCAATTATTATATAACTATTGTTCGGCATCATTTTACAAGATAGTCTTTTTATTAACCTGATAATTTATGTCTAGCTTGTACCTATCTTTGCCTTTTTGTAAAAGTGCGAAAAACATAGAATAAACATTAAAAATCGTATTAACAATCTGGAAAAATGGAAATCCTCCTGAAGCATTAAAACAACAAGATTACATGAAAATTGCAGACTCGGTTTGATTGAGTCTGTACATTATGGACAATGAAAAACCATCATCCCTCATGCCTCCCTCTACCACCGACTTGACAAAAGAATGTTATGAGCAGTATTCCACTGGAAGGACACTCGCTGTAAAATAATGTCGTCAGTGCTTCAAGAACTGATAACTCTCTGATCACTTTACCCCGAATTTTCATTCATTTCACAAAGATTTAGAAACGAACACAATAAAGGTTGATTATTTGTATCTGGTCAGAAGCAGAGCAACAGCTTACTTTTAAACTTGATGAATGCCATGTTGTCCATAATTTGAAATACAGCTGTAACATGCTAATTGCCAGGGTATTTTTACCTAATATTTCAAATACCTTTTTCTTTTAAACAACTAGAAGTCTTTAAAATTGTCGTAGTAAAAATATATATTGATATATGACATATGATATCCGTACCTTGATCACATCTCTGTCCTTGCCAACCAGGGTCACATAATCCAGTATTACAGGTACCAGTTGTACTGTGGCAATTTGTATTCTTAAGACAGTGACAAGTAGATGAACAATTATACCCAAATGTACGATGATCGCATTCTATAAAATTGAATAAAAGAATGTTTAAGGAACTCCACTGACTAAAATATAATTTTTTATGAATTTCTGACAGGAATCAGCCGAGGCACATAAAACAAACATATACGCAGAGGTTAATAGAATTTCGTATTTATTTTGTTATTCTTTGCCCGATTCCAGTGAACAAAATATCATATCATATATATAATATATATATTTGTATCAAAATCAGATATATATCATGTAATCAAAACTCAAAGCAAAAATAGTACAAAATCTATATGTGCTTATAATGAGTTTGGAGGGGCTTGGGAAGTAGGTCTTGGACGCGATACGTGGTCTTGATATGGTATATGCTAGGGTATTTTAAAATCTTTTCATGCATGATAAAGTTACACCTCGGAGACGAATGCTCTGTAAGTTGGACCTTACAGACAGATGGATGATCCGATTTAGATATGCCGCCCTTTGTTTGCATTAAAAACTGCATTAAACTTTTCTGAAATTCAAAATACCTTGATCACATCTAGAACCTTGCCAACCAGAGTCACATAAAGGAAGAACACAATTTCCCGTGGTACCATTGCAAGCAGTATTATTCAGACAGTGGCAAGTCGATGAACAATTAAGGCCAAATGACCTGTGATCACAGGCTAAGAAAAAATAAAACAAATACGGCATTAATGTCATAAATATAAGTAAACATACAGGCATTATTTCACGGTTAAGAAAACAGTACAAATCCATTAGTATGCACAAACGATTCTTTACATTGCAATTGTGGTGCACTGATACACGGTATTCTTTTAATAATTTACAAACTAGAGAGGAAACAAGCATCGCTATGTTCAATGATATTGTTTTGCATCAGTTTACAGAAAGTGTTTTCGCTAATCTAATAATTTGTTTCTAGCTAGTACCTCTTTAAAAACGTGAGACAACCATAAAATAAACAGCAAAAATTTGTATTTAAAATCTGGAAAAGTCAGAAGCCTAAAAATAACAAAAGTACATGAAAATTACAGGCTCAGATTGATTGAGTCTGTTGAAAAGGTGCAGCATCACTTAAGCCCCATCCCCTCCCTGACACCGGCTTGATAAAATATAAGAATGAAACGTGCTGTTAAATGATGACGTCACTGTTTATAACACTGATAATTTCTCTGATCAAGAAATTAACTCCATATTCATTAATTTCACATAGATTTAAAAACAGCAGTACACTTTTCTTTTTGTCAACTATTTGAAAGAAATCTATTATCTAAATATCATATCATTAGACAGCCCCCAAAGAAAGTAATAAAACGGAAAAGAATATTCTAAAGAAATTCAAAAGAATAAAATAGAAAAGAACAAATAAAAAATACTGACTGACAAAATTATTGTTTACATAACCATACCTTTATCACAGCTAGATCCTTGCCAACCAGGGTCACACATACCGATACCACATTCCCCAGTTGTACTGTTGCAATTTGTATTATTAAGGCAATGACATGTCGTTGTACAATTTAAACCAAATGTGTGAAGACCACATGCTAAAGAATTGAAAATGTAAGCATCGCACAAGTACATTTTTAAATATATAGTAGTTAACGCAAGACAGAAATCCAAAAAGAGAATAAAGGCTATCAAACCTTTTTTTTTCAGGTGAAAACACAGCAAAGTAAAGCAAATTTATCTTTTATAAACCACTAACATTATGTTTATATAAATCAAATTATAATCAACGTGATTGTTGTTCCTTTATTCGTAAATGAACGTTGATATAAGCATACTGTAAGATCTAGTTCGTTCGTGCAACAACTACAATTGTTTTCATTACATTTTCTTGGGAACAAGAAAAAAATATTGTTGCACGCTGTATATTGTGTGGAACGTAAAACAAAATGACATGTAATTTCTTTGTCTTATTTGGACGAAATAGTACATTTTTTTGTAAAACAGCGGAACTCGAGACGCAAAAGTAATTGAGTGGTCGTAGTAAATACAAAATTTATTTTAGTTCGAATATGCAGGAAGTTTTATGCGTATAGTCAAAATGTTGATATTCCCTTAAGTTTAATTAACAAATTAGAAAATGGAATTGAATGCCTAAAGATTTCATATAACCAGTTATTATAATCATTTACGTATGTTATCACTATAAAAAAGAAAACGAAAAATGTAAGGGAGTAACAACAGAACAAGCAGTTATATTTCTAGCAAGCTATTGCAGTTATAAAAAGATCTGGGAGCTTTCGATCTTACCTTCATCACAACTTGGCGTCTGCCATCCACGATCACATATACCATTGTGACATTCTCCGGATATTTTATTGCAACTGGCATTGCTGAAACAATGACAAACCGAAGTACAATTCTGCCCAAATCTTCGATGCCCACAGCCTGAAATTATTAATGAATAAATAGGTTCGAAATGTTCACTCATCATTTAGTGTACTTAACATGCATGCATTAACAACACTATATTGCATTTAACAAGAAGATATACGAGCTATTTTGAATTTTGTACATTACCTTTATCACAACTAGGAGCCTGCCATCCAGGATCACATATACCATTGTGACATTCTCCAGATATTGTATTACAACTTGCATTATTTAAACAATGACAAACCGAAGTACAATTCTGTCCGAATCTGCGATGGCCACATGCTTAAAGCAAAGTAAAGTGATTAATAAATAAAATAGCAATGCTCAAACTTGTGATAATACATTTTCTTAACTGCAAGTGCATACTGGTATAACAATGTTTAAGCAGACATCACTTAAATTGCATACAACGAAAAATCTTAAGAATTAAATAAGTTTTCGTGTCTTATTAAAAATGCTATAATTGAATCATGTTGTTGTAAGATTAGGGGGAGATTATTAAAAGTATGTGTTAATATTGGGACTTTTTATTCCAGTTGTTGTAAGCATGCTAAAGGAAAATATGCAAAAGCAGCTATTTGAATAAATCACTAAACCTTGGCTACATGTAGGTAATAACCAGCCCGGATCACACAATCCTGTATTACAATGTCCGCTTATATGATCACAACTTGTGTTGTCTTTACAATGACACATTTTGTTACATCCAATACCGAATTTTCGATGATAACATGCTGTTAGAATAAACACCCTTTGTTAAAATATCACAGTTTAATAGAGCATACTTATACATTAAGCTTTCTTTGAGACAACACGCAACAGTTTGCTGTATTAAAGATATACTATGTTCATCATTGAGTGGACTATTTTACAGAAATGCATTGAAATCTATGGAATTCTTACTGAATATGTCTTAGTTGAAATAGAAGATGCATGGGAAGCTGAGTGAAGTGAAGTTTGTATTTTCTTAAAACAAAACTACCAGTTTTTTAAATGACACTATAATCATATTGTGACCTTCTATAGTCTTTAGAGTTTTAAACACAACATATCTACTTTGTGAGAACTGTGAAGTAAAAACATGTTTACAAAGATACTGTGTAGCATATCAATATTTTCTAATATCAAATTTGAGCATATTATATTTGTTTCCTATGGAATTGAAAAGTTACCAAATTTTCAGCTGTATAAGGATTTTAATCATTTGGCAAATGAGCAACAGTTATACAATTTGATGACTTTAGTTAAAACGTCTGTATGGCTAAAGTTTTATAAAAAAAACATATAGGCGACTGAAAATTAAATGTCAAACCAGAACAAATATTTTTAAGAGAAAAGATATACAGTGCGTATCATAACAAATGGAATTTGTTTTCAAATCACCATCCTTGTCTGCAAATAACATTCGGACTTATTAATTGTGCAATAATTTTCCTAATAGGATAATTACAAGAACCCCACTATTATGCAAAACAATTTACAACCAAAATGCACAAAATTGAGAACTTACTCGGTTATACGAAACTTTCACACTGTTCTCGCAGTAAATATTTTCCATTGTGCATACTCTGCTACGAATTTAATCATGACATATGTCAAGGTTACCAGGTTTTCAAATCTGAGATCTGAGCCGATTTCATGATAAGCAGGTATTATGTGCCGAAATTAAGTAGGCATATATAAAAACATGCTCTTAACAGTTTCTTAAACATTATATTTGACGCATGCATCTAATTAATAAAACTATGATATATGCTTAGCAAGACATAAAATGAATGTTTTTAAATAAAACAGTAAACAAACAAACGTTTGGTGAATTGTTTAAATATAAAAAGGATTGACAGAATTTAATATTCATTCATTAAAGTATTTAAAAGAAGGTACAAGAAGAAGAAGAACTGTCGATTTCCGAATCGAAATGAAAAGAATAACAGCCTAGTATAGAAAATAAGCTCTTGATTGACACAAAATATAACTTCATCATCTTAATTCAATACAATGACGGACATGGATTAAATTCGTTATTAGTGTTGGTATAAATCAAGGTAATATTTGCCTAATTATACTATACTCGTTTTATGCTATTGTAGAAAATATTTTATAATTTGTAATGTAAAACATATACATGTACTTATTGCATATTGCATAATGTAACAAAGTGCCTTGTGTTGGATATAAATTTACAAAACATTTTAGCATTTAAATTATTACTTATATAAAATATTTACAAAATTAGTTCTTACACATACAATTGCGTATTACCATGACAATTATATTGCAATGATTATCACGGTAAATTTAACTGTTACAGTAGTTTTTAAAATATACTTACTACTGTAATGATAATTACAAAAACAAACTGACTTTTTTACAAATATTGAATGTTGTTTATAAATAAAAGTTGGACGAGCAAGTAAGGAAAATGTGTTTAACCCTTTAGTGATGACTCACCATCCTCACATGCCTCGCCTTTCCAGCCTGCCAGGCAACCAGGTGTCTGACATTTCCCTGTTACTTGATCACATATGTTATTGTCTGAACAGTGACAACTATGCAAACATCCCGATCCAAAGTAACCGACTTTACACCCTAAATAAAAACAGTCAAATGAGAGTGTATGGAATATATTATAAGATAATAATTTAAGAAAAATCATGTAAGCGTTTTCAAGGAAAAATCCTCTTCAACAATAATTTGTTTATGATATGATTTTTAATTTGTGTAGTCACAACATTGACACCGTGTATATTCATTGATACAAATAAAATGAGGTCCTTGAAACCAAAGACCTTAGTAAAGTAGTATTTTGTCATATGTTCATTCGCCAATCACCAATGATAAATTATTCAATTTTGTATAATCACATTTTAAAAATTACATAATAGCACACACAATGAAATTCAAAATGATACCTTTCTCATTTAGCTTGAATTCACACAAAGTCAACACGCTCTTGTTCAATTCCACTATGAAGTACTGTGCGATAATTATGTCTAATTTTTTTGTAAAATTCCGTGTAGTAACATTCATCGATGGAACGTCGTAAACTTTCATTTTATCTGAATCTATTCCTGGCTTCACTGACACGTTGCTAGCATAAACTTCAGCGTGTTCCAATTGCGAGTTTTCATCTGACACAAAAATATTTGGATAGGGAACTATCTATCTATCTATCATTTAGAGATCTATTTAGAAATCTAGAAATCTATCTAGAAATCTAGAAATATATTGATAATATTAAATTTAGTTTCTAATAAATTTTGAATACACTTGAGTCTTTATATAACAAATGTTCGTTCTTCCTGTTCGATTTCTGATGATGTTGATACTTTGTCATATTAAAAAACTAAAACAATTATGACTTAAATAAAACAAAAATTTAAATAAATTTTTGAAAACCCATGTAACGAATTCAATCTGCTATTAATCGAGTACAAAACGTTCTACAGTTAAACAAAAGATATTATCTTACTTGCAGCACGTCCAAATATTTGTAAACCACCTAACAGGTATTTCTTTCCAAGATCAATTTTCCACCATGAGGGAGAGGTTCCGTTTGTCACGCTACAGCATTTACATTTATCTATTAAATAATTCTGAACCCCGTCTATTGCTTTACTAGAGTTGTAATTTGAATCTGGAGAAAATATACTGGACTGGCTTGTTGTAACGTTTGCTTTGATACTTTCAATAAAATTAAATTCTGAAACGATTAAAATTGAGACATATTGAAGAATTGCGAATAAAATATCAATAAAAAATAATAAAAAATAATAAATAAATAAATAAAATAAAAAAAACAAAAACATACTGTGCAGTGTTATAAAGTTACTAACTTTCCATGCCAATCGTAATTAAAATAGATTATAAAGAATACATATTTATAGCACGAAATTTAAATACCAGCATAAGATTGCTATTATTCCGTTTATGTGATTCTTTGCTTGGTTTTGGTTAATCTTTTGTCGAAGTGGGGATGGGATTGATATTCAGAAAGAATAAAGAGAATTTGAAACTAAACAAATAACAAATCAATTCGAATATATGCAAGTAAACCCATTCATAAAATAAGTTTGACATACAAAGCACATGATGTAGCGTTTTAGGTAAACGTTTATTCGCTATAGGGTCAGATATTCTAATAAGTAAGTCACCATTATTGCCATTTTTCGTATCTCATTTAAATATGTACTAGCTTATCCGAAACCTAAAATTGCTTTTCGTTTTGTATGACTTGCTTAACTTTCTTCATCTTTATATGCATCACAGCATCATTTGACATTATATTTCATACATTAAAAATCAATAAATGCAAACTGAGACGAACAAGATAAGTAGTATTAAAGGAGCTGCGATTATGTCAAGTGTATTTAATAAGCGCCCTAGCGCCCAGTTAGCCAGCCTGAATTTCATATTCAGAACAAAAACAAAAAATCTTAAAACTGTACAATTCAAACAGCATTGAGACTGTAAAACACTTTCAAACAGAGAGCCATGTTATAACCGTTACAAAATTACATTACCCCTCTATATTTTGATTTTAAAATTAATTCAACGAATAAAGCAACTGTTATATTGTTGTAATAACTAATACATCTAAGATGGTGTTTCTTGTCAGCCGCTTTTGTTTTTTTTGTCATTATGGTTGAACTCAATGACTGTTCTGTACAAGAACTGTTAATATCATGGGGATGAAGGGACACTCTTGATACCTGTGACTGCTATGATTTCTTACAATAAGTTTATATAGAGAATACATGGTTGATGTCGGAATGGAGAAGGTTTATCCGGTGAGCGAGAAATTGTGTCATGGCGAGCTTTAGCTACAGGTCTACCGTCAATAAGAAGTTATTTCACGAATTTCGGCGAGTCACTTTTTTGCTATGGCAATGTTATTGAATATTCTTCCTGAGTTCATATATTCAATGTTAAACATGTGACGATGTCGCTTGATAATGTTAGTTAAGCATACAAGTTTGTAATTCAACGTCAGTGGCCTTTTGCTGGTTATGTCATTTTGAACGTGCGTTCATTCACTCGCCCATTATGGGGAAATTGCCGGAAATTTGCATCATCTTACCCAAGATCTTGCCAAAATAGAATTGAAATACCCTAGATATTTTGAATATATTGTAACACAGATATAAATAGTTATGTCTGCATTATCAATTGGAATGATTTTGTTCTATAATAACTTTTTATCATTCTCCTTTAGTTGAGATTTTATGTTATCTCTATTAAATAGTGAAAAACAGAATCCCTAAAGAAGGCCCATCACGGCAAATTGTAAAATGCTGCAGGCTCGGTTTGATTGAGCCTGTTCATGGACGGTAATGGAAATTGCAAGTTACCGTCCAAGCCCCCCTAGCACCGGCTTAAGCAGAATTCAACATTTAAACACTAAAATGGTGAAATTTTGAATTTAGAAACATCCGCAGATAGTGTTCATACGGCGGTTATCATGGAACCTTCAATGTGACATTTTTGCATATTACTGATATCTATCATGGTTGCATCACAGTTTTCTCTAAAATAGTAATGAACTTTCAATTAACTTCCGTATGTTCGTATTGACCATCTAACTTCTCGTTGAGATACTAATTATTATCATATTATTTAACAGTGCAATATTCAAAGGGCTTTATTTTACACTGGTATTATTATATTTTAATCTTCGGACTGTTTAACCGGTGTATGACATAATTTCATTTCGCTCTACAATATCTTGTATTCTGATATATATTGTCATAACAATAAGGATGCCTATTGTTATGAAAAGACAATATCAACATAAGTCAAAGTGAAGCCATAATTTACCTGCAAAGCATTTGATGATAGTAGCTTGTAAAAGTAGCAGTACAATACAAAAACGTGTCGTCATTGTGCCAAAGTCGGTTCTCTGTAAATGAAATTATCATAAGCAGTTTGATAAACATGGAAACTTCCATAGATAAATATTGTTATTTCACACCCAAATGCACTTAAGGTACTCCACATGATGTTCTTATATACTTAATAAATTCATCAAATCTTATCAGTCTAGCCTCATATTTATTTCTGGGTCCATAACTGTTGATTTTGATAGTTTTCTTTGATTTTATGTATTGTTTAATTCTGGTATAAAATAGAAAGATCATTTCGTATTGACATATCTTGCCAGTCTGTTCACCTTTGATATTTTATGAACGGCATTCTTGGATAACTAACCATTTAATTATAACCAATATTTTCAAATCAATACTTGGCAAATGTAGTTTTTATGGGAATACGATTGAACAAAATCAGCATCGCCTTTGAAGTAGCAACCGAGTTCCGGTGAATACAAATATGTAAGTTTGTATTACAATTTACAAAATAATTATAAAGAAATATACCTGGCTTTTTTATCCTTAACAACACAGTCATTAATAAGGAAGTTAAAATTTCTTAAATTTATCTCTCACTGATATCTGAAGTATGAGCTGTTATCTAACATATTCCGGGTTGTTAGCGTCTTACGACACTGTCAATCAAAATAACTTATTATCTCTATAAAAAATAAGTATTTAAAATACCAAAAAGACACTTAGGATTCAACATATATCATGACTTTGTTTATTCAATATTGTTCAAAATGTGACTCTTATGTAACTGTTGTCCTGTCATGGGGTCATTAAGCTTTTAATTGTTCTTTTTTACCAAATACAAGTCTTTTTGTCAGAAACTGATGTTCATAAAAGATGGAAATTGGGAACATTTGTGCCGGCATGTGTGTAGTGAATAGAGTCTTTAACAGATGAAACATGTACACACTGTTCTTAATTAAAACTGCTGCTACTATAACGAATGTTATTAACAAAATACTAATTGTGTGATCGTCTTAAATCTAATCCGGCAGTACATGTACATAATCTAGCCTTGTTTTGTAGTTTATACTTGTAAAAGGTCTGTGTCCAGCTAAGTGTTTGTATAAAATAGTTTTGAAGTTATCTGAGTTAAATGTTGCAATAACACTTTTTAAGTCTCCATATCAAATCCTTGAAAAGGCAATTTTAAATTATTTTATATTATGTTTTAGATATGTCTAACTCATTGGATTATTGTTCATACACACAAGGCTATTTGAGAATATTAAATTTTACACAGGTTCCAATTCAAAAAAGTAACATCCTCGATAACGTATGTAATTAATGATTGAATAAATAGCAATAATAAATAGAAGAAAATATAGATATACACACGTTCAAAAATTATTAAAGTTGTGGCAAATGAAATTAAGAGTCTCAAAACAAAATAATAATACTATTCAAATCTATTTAGAGACTTTTAAAAAATCAAACATATTCACTGTGCTTTTTTTAAAGTTTAATTTTCAGCTGTGCAAAACATTTAACGGATCAACACAAAAATGTCTTGGTAATAATTTATAACAGAGAATCTGAGCATGATAATCAGGAAGTGAAAACCATACTCAAACAATTTGCGTAATTGAAGGTTAGAACACGAAACACATAATACATTTATAATCTAATCGCTCTAACCACCACGTTACTTGGCATTCCATACTTACGTTTATTTCATTTTATCGCAATGGAAATGCAAAATATAGCAAGGAAATGCGTTGAATTTATATCCCCCGCCGTGTACTGGTTATTACAATCACAAACAACTTTAGACACAAAGCTTTATTTACATAAATTTATCATGCAAATGCATAAATTTGGCATGCAAATTTCCTTTTCGTATTGATGGTTCCAATAACGTCTTGTTGAAATCAATTCAGCAGTTGAAAAGTAATAACAATATTGCTCTATATACATACTGCACAGCTAATCAAGGGCTATAACTCTGTTGTGAAGGCTGTGAGCAGAACAAGGGAATTTTTATTATCATCTCCCAATGGAATTAATTGTTCCAATAAAGTGTCATTGAATTCCAGCCTGCACTTGCAGAGATATAGCGATGACATGATTATTGCTCTATATGCATACTGCTTAACTTATCAAGGGTCATAACTCTATGTTGAAAGGTCTGACAGGAATAAGGCAACGATAAACGCCTCTTCTATTAGTATTGATTGCTCCCATTAAGTTTCGTTGAATTCAATCCAATAGTTGCAGAGAAATAGCATGGACACTTATTGCTCTATATGGATACTACATAAACAAGAGCCATGTCAACATGGCCATCCCCCGCCGAATGTGTTTGCTCATTGGAAGAATGTATATGTAGTAGAGCGGAATAATTCCATTTTAAGAGGTCTTTTGGTAATGAAAACTGATGGCTATAGTGATTACAGATTTGAAACCTATGTGAATACTGATGGCTGAAAATAACAAAGGGCAATTACTGAAAAATAATGCAGGGTAGGTTATCATTCTTGTGTGCTGCATCCCTCCTCAGTAAAATCTATCCACCTATGAAGTTTCAAGTTGATACCTCAAATACTTTTTGAGAAATAAATTGAATTGAAAAATTAAGTATGAAAAAGAACAAAGGGCAATAACTCAAAAATTATAAAAGGTAGTGTTATCATTCTTGTGCAGTGCACACCTCCTGAGTGAGATCTATGCACCTATAAAGTTTCATTTTGATATCTCAAAGGCTTTTTGAGTCATGCTCTGGACAAAAATTAATTTTGAAAAATAACAAAGGGCAATAACTCAAAAATAATGCAGGGTAGAGTTATCATTCTTAAGCACTGCACTCCTCCTCAATGAGATCCATCCACCTTTGAAGTTTCAAGTTGATACCTCAAATACTTTTTAAGATAAGCTCTGGACAAAATAGCATAAAAAACAAAGGGCAATAACTCAAAAATAATGCAGGGTAGAGTTATCATTCTTAAGCACTGCACTCCTCCTCAATGAGATCCATCCACCTTTGAAGTTCCAAGTTGATAACTCAAATACTTTTAGAGATATGCTCCGGACAAAAATGTCGGACGGAAGGACGGACGGACGGACGGAAGGTCGGACGGACGGACGGAGACTATTTCTATATCCTCCGCCGAAATTTTTCGGCGGGGGATAATAATCATGGGACATAACTCTATGTTGAAGGGCCTGACCGAAACAAAGCGACCGTTTGCACACATCCTCTCAATATTGATGGTTATCATAAGGTTTCGTTTAATTCTAGCCAGTAGTTGCAGAGAAATAGCGCAGAAACGGTTATTACTCTATATGCATACTGCATACCTAATCAAGGGCCATAACTCTGAGTTAAAGACCGGAACAATGCGATGATATGCGCATCTCCTCTTGGTATTGATGTTTCCTATAAAGTTTCGTTGAATTCAAGCCAGTAGTTGCAGAGCAGAGAAGTAGTGCAGAAACGGTTATTGCACACTGCATAATTAATCAAGGGTCATAACTCTGAGTAAAGATTCTGACCAGAACAAGACGACGATATGCGAGTCTCCTCTTGAATTTGAAGGTTCCCATAAAGTTGCTTTGAATCCCAACCATAATTTGTAGAAAAGTAGCGCGGAAACTATCATTTCTCTATATGCATATTGCATAACTAATGAAGGGCTATTACTCTTTAAAGGGTCTGACTGGAACATTTCCTTTGTTTATATTTATGGTTTCCATAAAATTTGGTTGAATTCAAGCCAGTAGTTGCAGAGAACTAGCACGGACACGAAATTCGGATGGAGGGATGGAGGGAAGGAAGGACGGACAACGACAAAACAATATCCCACTCCCAATTCGATCGGCGGGGATAATAAATGATACATACAACCCATTAAATCACAATGGTACGATGCTATCTTACACATGTTTCATTATTTACATCTGAGTCTGATTACGACTCTATGTTACTGTAAATTATCTTGCGTGCGTCACGTCTTTCATCAAATTAACTATTTCTGAAAATCAGTTTTGAAAATTAATCAAACCCCTGCCCCTCCCCCCACAAAAAACAATATAACATATTCCTCGTTTTGTGATTAAACTTATTTGTTGAGTAGTATAGATCTTGTTTGCAACATTTGCAATCCTGCAGTGTTGGTCTATCTTTAGCAGTTCTGTGTTTTTCTATTCTATTGGATACTACTACAATTGTCCCTGTTATTGAACACAACTTACATACGGTAATTTGCATGCACGCTCTCACGCGTGTTTTTCTTCTTGTTTTTTTATCATTAAACGGCGTGCTATGCAGCTGACCTGGACTCATTCATTATAAAAAGTCCTTATCAAACATGCAATGATATTCATGTTTTATAAAAGTGCATTTAGGACAAAGTTGATTACATCTGCACTACACTGCACATGCTCGCTTGATATAGGGTACTTTACTGATAATTCAATGCACATTCGACACAGCGCAAACATCGAACGATAAACTTCAAAAGATATTAAAACAAGTATGCGTTTTATCTAGTTTAAGATTTCTAACATATCTTTGATATTTTAGAATAGTTTTAATATTCATGTCCCGAGCAGATTATATATTCTCTCTTTGTATGGGCAGCAAAGTGAGACCTAGAAGTGGCAAGCATAGCCAACGGCCAAAAAATAATGGGTTCACATTCTTAAAACACTCGTTCTCAACAATGATAATTGTAAAGCGGTGCGGCGGTCCGGTTCACTTTTACAATGTCTATACCTCTTATCTTTAAATGTGGACCATATAATCTTGATTACGTTTCAAAGTTTGTATGTGTTCAACACTCCATGAGCATTTAGATTACTCTGTCACAGCAAAGTCTCTTGTTTAGTTAGCCAACCGACCTTTAGGTCTCTTAAAAATCAGAGCAATACCTAACATTGTCTTTACTAAGTTGTTAAACTCATTATTTTGGTCTGTGGTAGCATATGGTGCAGCTTTATGAAGCAACCAATCGTTTGCCTATACTAACTCAATTCAGCACCGTTCTATGTGCCTTGTCTTAGCGACATCACGCTT